CAAACAGCGGGCCAGGCAGCGAGGAAACAGGCATAAAATGGAATCACACAAAACATTTTGAGGATCTGGAATTCGCCGATTATATATGTCTGATTTCCCACAAACTGGAAGATATGCAAGCGAAAAGCAACAAGTTGGCAGAAGAAGCATCAAAGATAGGATTTCAGGTGAACATAGAGAAGACAGAGGTGATGAAGACTCCTGGGCAACACCGACAACAGCAACGACAACAGACAACAATCGGGATAAATGGGAGAAATCTGAAAGAAACAACCTCCTTTACCTGCCTACCTGGATGCATCGTTTCAACTACAGGCGAACGGAACTGACGAGGATATCAAAGCAAGAATCGGAAAAGCAAGACAAGCTTTCACTACTCTCAAGTCTGTGTGAAGGTCAGCAGCACTCACCATCAAAAATAAGATCCGGATTTTCAACTCCAATGTGAAGTCAGTCAGTGCTTCCATACGGATTAGAGACTTGTACTGCGCGTCATAAAAAGCATCTCAAACAAACTACAGACCTTCATCAACAGTTGTCTTCGGTCAACACTACTCAAGATCAGATGGCCGGCCGGCCAGAAAACATCAGCAACAGTGAGGGATCTCTGGCAATGAGCGAACCAACACAGCAGGAACCGATTGTGAAACAAATAGGCAGGAAGAAATGGAGATGGATTGGCTGGCCATACTCTGAGGAAACAATCCATCAAGTGAGTGACATCACTAGACAAGCCATTGCTCGAGTGGAACCCGAAAGGGAAGCGGTGAGTTGGTCATCAGTGCGAGGGTGACTTGGAGGAGGTGATGTGGGCAGACTTGGAGCCAGCCAGGTGAAGACTCTAGGAGAGAACTGAACGCAATGGAGACGCACGGTTGAAGCCCTATGTTCCTCTAGGAATTTAAGGAAACAACAATAATAATGACCCCACTGGGGATGGAATTGACAGGAATGATGAGTGTGACTTGAATCAAATGCTTTATGTATTTGATAGTCAGCATCGGGAGACGCGATTCACGCTTATACTGAAAAACAGATTCGAAATTCCATTTCGTAATGTAGCGCTTACAAGACAAAAACAAATTGCATGTATATGAAAACCGGATGCGACAGAAGAAGGGGTAATCACGTCGACCGCTGAAATCTTCGAGATAAGAGTTTTAAACATCATTTCACAGAAGACGTCGAGTGTTCCCTAGTCATCAGTTACTTCTAATTAACCTGAATGAGGAACATTCAGCTGGTTCTAGAAAGCCAGGTATTTCGTTTGTTCGACGCAGATTCTCTCCAAAGGAAGCTAACAACAGATAGCAGGCAGTGAATCCAAAATAAATAAGATACGTGGACATTTTGCCAACACTTACGATTCAATATGAAGATCGGGATCTGCGTAGATGTAGTAAGTGGAACCATTCAGGTGAAATTCGAGTAGATGTACTTACATCCTAAAATGCCATAATTATTATTATTGTTTCCTTTAATTCCTAGAGGAACATAGCGCTTCAGCCACACGTCTCCATTGCGTTCGGTTCTCTGCTAGAGTCTTCACCTGACTGGCTCCAAGTCGGCCCATACGTTTTCATCTCCTCTTCACATCACCTCCTCCAAGTCACCCTCACCCTCGCACTGACGACCAACTCGCCGCTTCCCTTTCGGGTTCCACTCGAGCAATGGCTTGTCTAGTGATGTCACTCACTTGATAGTTTGTTTCCTCAGAGTGTGGCCAGTCAATCCATCTCCATTTCTTCCTGCCTATTTGTTTCACAATCGGTTCCTGTTGCATTGGTTCGCTTCCAGAGATCTCTGTTGCTGATCTTTTCTGGCTGGCTGGCCATCTGATCTTGAGTGGTATTGAGCAAAGACAACTGTTAATGAAGGTGTGTAGTTTGTTTGAGATGCTCTTTATGACGCGGCGCCAAGTCTCTGATCCGTATAGTAGCACTGACTTCACATTGTGAAATACATAAACGTAACACTCGTGATTTAACTATAACCAGATTCCATAGGGTAGAAAAATCCAGCTGCTTTAAACCAATTTGTCCTTCTAACCTGAACAAATTCAGTCATACAACTAATTATATCTGACTCTAATCCAGTGTTTACATCACCTCAAAATGCCTAGCAATTATCAGTGACGACTGGCAATGTCTGTCTGTCTGGATTCAGCATAGAACTTGGAACCGAAGTGCAGCAGTTCGAGTTGCCACGTCCCAAGTAGCACACAAATGTAGACAAGAAAATGAGTGAAGAGAATCAATAGAGTTTTGACAAGTATAAGAGTGAAACAGAATGAGTAATGGTAGAAAGGAATATGAAAGATTAAAGAGACTGAATACATCTGCGTAAGCCATTGACAACGATTTTGAGCCATGTCACCTATTGTCTCCAGCCATTGATTCTTAGAGTTCCGAGGGCGGGCCCCAACCCGGAAGTCTGCATCTCCCTACCTGACTCAGTTTAACTGTCAAGGATTTCATGGATTGATTGATGCCATGTTTTTGTTTGGCCACCACTTACTCTTTTCCAACCCACCTGCACCTATATCAGCTAGTAATGCCTGTCGGGGGAGGCGATGGTTAGGCATGCGCCGCACGTGACCTAGCCATCTCAATCTATGTAACTTTATAGCCTCTTCGATTGATTTTCCCTCTTTGCCCAACACTCTACTCCTAACATCAACATTACTTACCTTATTATACCACCTAACGTGAGAAAGAGATCGTAGACATCTATGATCAAAAACAGCCAACCTTTTCATGTCTTCAACTCGTATTGGCCATGTTTCAGAGCCATAGAGAAGGATGGAACGAACTGCTGAGCAGTACACACGTCCCTTGGTTGATAGGCGGATGTCACGCCTACGCCAGAGACGGTGTAAGTTAGCGAAAGAAGCTGGAGCCTTTTGGAACCGTGCTGAGATTTCGTCGCCAATCAATCCGTTGGTGCTGATACAACTTCCCAAATAGGTGAAGTGGTCAACATGTTCTATCACTTCACTCCCTATCACTAAGCTAGGAGTTGACGTAGTCCAGTCCTGTAGCAGCATCTTACATTTTACAGGGGCGAATCGCATGCCAAACATACGAAGATTTCTGCTCAAGGTGTTCAGAAGACTCTGCGATTGGCAATGACTGTTCCCCAAATACTACTCAGTCAACCAGTCATCTATATACAGCAAAGGTTATCATGCCTACAATGCTGAAGAAGTTCATGGAAGAAATAAACCATGATAAGATTTTATCAGTGACTATCATTTGAAAATACTTGATTTCTTTTTAGACCTACGGTCAATTTTAATTTGGTGCCCTAAAAGCAAACAAAGTTTATTGTACAATCTCTCAGTCAAATTGTTCCAAATTAAATTACTTTCTATCGGAAATTAGTTAGAGATCCTCTTCAAACGATCTTAAGCTAAATCCGTCTAAATGTCAGGTAGTCAAGTTCCCTTCCAGACGAAAACGTGACCTACAGCGACTAGCTAGCTCACATGGCCCCACTATCATTGACGGCATAGAGGTTGAAACTACATCTAATGTCAAGTACTTTGGACTCAGTATTTTCTCCGATCTTTCCTGGTCCTCTCACATCTTGCTAGTTTCGCTTAACGTTCTACGTTAGGAAATTAAGGCAGTCCTTGCTTTCTCAGTATGTCAATTCTTGTATTCTAACCATCCCTCTTTACTGCTCCCCACTAATCTTTCCTGGACTACTTAAGAAAGATTTTGCTTTGCTGAGAAGGGTACTAAAAGCTGTTAGTAGGGGAAATGGGATTTCGTTAAACCAACTGGTTAACACCATTGTGGATAGACATATAATGTCATGTAAGAAACTAGCGAATACTATATTGTCAGACCCCGAACACCCTCTCTATACGCAGCTCTCTCCTTGCATTTCATCTGGTAGAACTAGAAGCAACTATAGGAGGCTATATGCCAGGACTACCATGTACAAAAACTCCACAATACCTTATCTGGCACACCTGTTATGTGATGAGAAATCCGTTAGGTATGACACGATCAACTTACTGCGGCACTCTAACAAATAGTTCCCATTAGTTTTTGTTCTCCTTTCTGTATTACTATTATATTGTTGCTCACATATTCTATTACACACTAATTTTATATTTCATATTCCTGTGGAACTGAAGAGGATACCAAAGCAAGAATCGTAAAAGCAAAACAAGCTTTCACTTCTCTCAAGTTTGTGTGGAGGTCAACAGCACTCAGCATCAAAAATAAGATCCGGATTTCCAACTCCAATGTGAAATCAGTGCTACTGACTATACGGATCAGACACTTGCACTGTGCGTCATAAAGAGCATCTCAAACAAACTACAGACCTTCATTAACAGTTGTCTTCGCTCAATACTCAAGATCAGATGGCCGGCCGGCCAGAAAACATCAGCAACAGAGATCTCTGGCAATGAGCGAACCAACTGAGCAGGAACCGATTGTGAAACAAATCGACAGGAAGAAATGGAGATGGATTGACTGGCCATACTCTGAGGAAACAATCCATCAAGTGAGTGACATCACTAGACAAGCCATTGCTCGAGTGGAACCCGAAAGGGAAGCGGTGAGTTGGTCATCAGTGCGAGGGTGACTTGGAGGAGGTGATGTGAAGAGGAGATGAAAACGTGTGGGCAGACTTGTAGCCAGGTGAAGACTGTAGCAGAGAACCCAACTCAGTGGAGACGCACGGCTGAAGCGCTATGTTCCTCTAGGAATTAAAGGAAGCATTAATAAGAATAATGATAATTCCTGTGGTGCATTGTTTAAAATGTGAATGCAACGCTGTTCTTTTTTATTTTCTTTTTATTTACCTATTTTTTTATTGTTGTTGTTGCTCTTTGTTTTTAAAATCTTATAAAAATTTATGAGGTAATTAGATGCAATATTGTAATGCACGCTGAAAATTCCATACCTGTACCACAAATACTGTTTGGAATAAAGCTATTATTATTATTACATATTTAACTTGGCACCCTAAACGAAGACAAAGTTTATTGTACAATTCACAATTTTGTAAGGGCATCCAACGTGTTAAACATCAGATCATAACAAAATTTATTTTCAGTCATTCATTATCAAAGAATAAAATAAAAACGAAATGCGAAAGACAACCAAATTGTTTACTAGTAAAATAGAAATCCAGAAACAGTTGATTACGAAATCTCAGTTTACAAAGTTGCATTGGTTTTGATAACCAGATAGATATCGAAACATTCGCAGTCAAAAAAAAAACTAAAACCTGGAGAGTAAATAATAAATAAACTATTTAAAATCATATATGGTATATCTTTATATACAAAGAATATCGCTACCGCTGTCGACACCCCTTTCCCCCGAAGGCCGATGGGATGAACTACACATGCAAATACATGGACTGTTGTTGTATGACTGTGCACTTCTCTTCATCGATTATCTGAAGACGTCTTCTTAATCAATTCAGTAATATAATTTACACTGTCGACGAATGCATCCTTGAATTGAACAGCATTGGATTTTGGTGAATCAGACCATGAAGTCACCTGCATACTACAATAATCATCCTGTAATATAGAAAGAAAGAAAGTAGATGATGATATTTAACAGACACACAAAGAAATACGAAAATCTGAAATCATTGAAAAACACAAATAATAATGTCTATCACAACGATTATGTGTTAGGACGCTCGCCGACCATGCACATGGTTCGGGGTTCGATCCCCGGCCGACGCACTCCTTTACTTTGCTAAGCCAGTAATAATGCTGGTAAAGAGGAAAGGTTGGGCATGAGGCTAGCAGCCCCATCCTGTAAAAATTAAACACTGCTACAGAAACTTCAAGCCACGAGCTTGAGGCCCTATGTTCCACTGGGAACGTGAAGGAAAAACAAACAAACAACGATTATGTACTTGCAAAGATGATTCTTGATTCTCCCTGATTCCTTCACATTCAGAGTGGAACGTAGGGCTACAAGCTTGAGCACTGAAGTTTCGTCAGCGATGGTGTTTCATTTTCACGGGATAAGATTGCCCCCCCCCTCAAGTTCAACATCTGGTCTTTTCTGGGTTTACTACAAGCTAAACGAGGTTTAGGAGTGCATTAGCTGGGAACCAAACCTGCACCAGCAAATTAATAAAGGTAAAGTTAGAAAATAACCTAAAAATACGCTGACACTCATTCAATGAAATGTGAACAAACAGCCTAGCGGATAATGTGTAGCCTCTTAAAAAAAGGAGAACTCCACTGGGGTTTCAACGGAAACATCAATCACCACCAATCACTGAGATACATGCAAATCCAGCTGATGGAGTCTTAAAATGAATTAAGCGTGTATACTGAATCCCACTGTTAGTTGCTGTTTAAAGTACAAATAAACAAAAGAAGAGAAATGATGAATATGAATATTATACTGAACTGAAGTACTCGGTATCTGAATTCCATGTGAATAAAACCTGAAATAAAGTATTAAAAACCAGCCAATATATCATAGGCAATGATAAGAACACAAGTAGTGACCAATGACCACCAGATGAATACCTACCTCTATATGATACATTATACCGTAGCCATCTAGGCAGACTGCTGCAAATGCACCCATTGCAAGACCAGGCGTAGACAATGAACTTGTACAAATCAGACATTGATTGATTTTTTCATAACTCGGATCAAGAAACAGACTAGGCAGTGGACCGTGTGAGTCGGTCAAGGCAAATTGACGTAAGACATACAAGTGTCTATCCCAACCTTGAAATTGGTAAGGAAAAATATTTTTCTGAATCAAAAAATATTAGTGTTACATTTCAGCTGTAACAATAAAATATACAAGAGTGAATTCGAACGAAACGGAAAAAGCAAAGTCTAATGCGAGTTTCTCATCACCAACTGACCCCAGTCTTGATAAACATTGGAAACTGGAGAGGACTGGACAGTTATTTCGTTCAAGTTTAGAAATTCTCAGCAGTGTACATCCATGACGTGCGTCGGTGGCATAGTGGTTAGGACGCTCGCCGACCATGCACATGGTCCGGGGTTCAAGCCTCGGCTGACGCACTCCTTTACCTCGCAAAGCCAGATATAATGCTGGTGAAGAGGGAAGGTTGGGCATGAGGCTAGAAACCTCATCCTGTAAAAAAATAAGCACTGCTACAGAAACTTCAAGCCAATAGCTTGAAGCCCTATGTTCCACTGGGGAACGTGAAGGTAAAAAAAGAAAAAAGACAATATCAGGAGGTTTTGAAGATAACGCCCTATCATTGGGTTGGAATTCAACGGCCTGTAAATCCTAACTTCTGTCTGTTCGTAATAAAAGGCAACGGCTAACTACTATTACATTTTACAGAATATCTTATAATTCTCCCTAACTCCCAAACTACTTATGGAGTTGTGACGTATGCTAACCAACACGATTTATAAATAACAACAATCACTTTATTCCAAACAGTAATAATTCTATAGAATGGAATTTGCAGCGTCCTCATACATAGTGCAACAATTTAGCTCCTTTTATAAATACGTAGATACAAAATTTAAGAAAAACCAATAGGACCACGGAAAACTGAATGTTGGTGGGAACATAATAATGAAGCATAAGTAGATAGTATCATAAATAATACATGAACCAATCCATGAATGCGTAGTTTGAGCTCGTCCACAGGCTAACGTTTTCAGAGAGTATTTGTCCTCACTCTCTATCGGGTGGACCCCACCCCCCACCCCACTGGTCACTACTTCTCACTAGTACTCCAGGCAACTTCATCCAGTGTGGCCAATCACTAGCGAGCATCAGACTAATTTTCAAGTGTTATTTTGTAGGAATTTGATTTGTGTCAAGTTTGACCTCAGGTTGATATTATCTAAGAAACCATTGAAGACCAAGGAGTGCTGGCAGGTGTTTCGTTCTAGTTTTGGGACTCATTGGCAGATCATAGAAGTTGTGGAGATTAAACGGGTAAAATCCACTTTATACATTCACTATTCTCAGTCTTTCCCTACTATAGTGAGAAAACTTCTGTTTTGTTTCTGAGTTCTGTCGCTGCATCCAGTGTTGACGATGTCATTTCATACTCTTTAATTTATTTTTGTCTTTATTCATAGTGTTCACCTGTATATTTGACAATTACTCAACCCATTGTTATTATAATCACCTGAAACCATCAAAACTTAGAATTTTTGCGTAGCATGTTATTTCTATATTTTATTAAAACATAAACTTGATACATTATGGAACCAAGAGGTGCGCCACACACAATCTCATAGTTTTTGCGAGGGCTTGGATACTGTCCAGAAGCCCAGACCAAAGCAGGTGCTTGTCTCAAGGGGTCACCTCCCCCCCACCGAGCCTTTAACTTGAAGTCTGATCCACAAGGAGATGGGACGGCGTCAAAAGCTACTTTCCCACGGTTGGGGGTAACCAAAACAGGTTCACAGATCATTCAGTTTCTTTGGGAGAGTAGTAACCATGTACACCCCACGTTTGTAATCAGGGTTTTTCAGCATATCTACTAATCTGGTTGTAAGCGCTAGATGTAATACGTGGTATTTACTTTATTATTATTTCTTTTACACACCTAAATTATCCTTAACTTCCGTTCCTGGCTCTAGAATATCCCCGTAACTTTTCTGTGTACATCAAAAAACTCACCGAAAGCGGTAGTTCTTCTCCTTTATCTCAAGTTGTATTCACTTACGTTATCATCTTCTAAATAAATGATTAAAGTGTGCGGAAAATTTTGCATACTGATATTATAACTGCTTTAATTTGTGCACAGCAGATAAGAGTCAAAGAAAGAAAAAAAGAAAAGACGAGTTCATGTCATCTTCTCCCACTCGTTGTTTCTGTCCTGTTAAAGCCATTTGTGTAAAAATAGTATACATGTGTGTGTGTGTGTTAATTTACTATTTCCTTGGATTCCAAATGGGACATAGGGCCTCAGCAGCAGCACATCCCCCCCATTGCACCCTAATCTCTGTAGTCCTTTTAAGCTACCTCAACGATCATCACACGATCTCCTGAATGTTGCCTTCAGACCAACACCCAACTCATCGTGTTCCAAATCGGGGTTGCATCCGGCAATTTGACGCGTTATTTCGCTCATCGATTTTCTCAGCGTATTTTTCAATCCATATTTGATGGGCTACGGGTTCTTGGCTAGTTTACTGCAAAAGTTCCTTTTGACAGTTCCTTTCCGGCTAGTCATCTGACCTTCAGTATTGAGATAGTGAAGCCAGCTGTTAAGGGAAGTGTGCATTCTACTCAAAATGCATTTTGTGACACGCTCACCAAGTCTCTGAACCAGGTAGAAACACTGACTGACACTGACATTAATGTTGGAAATTCGGACCTTGTCGCATATGCTGATTGCTGCAGATCTCCACACCGATTTCAGAGGAAGAAATGCATGTTTCGCTCTTCCGATCCTCATCCGTGTCGGCTGTAGTTCACACGATGCTGGTAGGGTAAGGCAAAAAGGAGACTGTCTTTACAATTCCCCCGTTGATACTGATTGGTACTTGTTGTGTACGTGTATGAGACAAAAGTATGTATTTAAATAAAGCAAGAACAACAGTGGTTTGTGCAGAATAATATGGTACCATCATTTATTTCGTCAGCTTCTCATCAGCTGCTTACAGCCTAAATAAATTGTGAGGTTTACGTACAGAAAAGTTTTAACATACTTGCAAATTTTTTACATGTTGTCAGTTGACAGAAAGTTCCACAGTAAGCGAACAGTGCTCAGAAAATTGTGCTTATATAGTTTTTACACAAGCAGCTCAAGTCAAAATAAATGTATGCATACATTGGTAGAGAAGTTACGTAATAAAGACGAGAGGTGAGTAAGATGATGAGTAACTAATAAATTTGGTAACGATGTACTGAGTTCAAATCACGTCATAGAAACAAGAGACAAGCAATATTACAGATTATAAAAAAGAGGGGTGAGGTTAAAAACAAAGATTACGTAATCAGAGTAGAGAATAAAGAAATTCAGTTACCATGGCAAGGAAAGACTAATAACTGCTTCGTTCTGAACACATAAATCTGGTTTGAAGCGTTTGATAGAAATTGCTTCGGCAAACTTGAGGAGAATGGAGCTCCTTTGTCTATTGGTAATTTTAAAGGATTTCTCGATTTCCACCTCATGACCCGTGTCGAGGAGATGCCTGGCGATGGCTTTATTATGCCTTACTACGTAACTCCTTTACCATTGTATGCATACATTTATTTTGACTTGAACTGCCTGTGTAAAAACTATATAAGCACAATTTTCTGAGCACTGTTCGCTTACTGTGGAACTTTCTGTCAACTGACAACATGTAAATATTTGCAAGTATGTTAAAACTTTTCTGTACGTAAACCTCACAATTTATTTAGGCTGTAAGCAGATGATGAGAAGCTGACGAAATAAATGATGGTACCATATTATTCTGCACAAACCACTGTTGTTCTTGCTTTATTTAAATTCATCAAGGGGAATAAATGCATGATGTTTCTCAAAAGTATGTGATAATCATGCAACTCACCTTGACCAACAGCAGCTTCTTTAATCAATTGAGAATGTTTAGCTGAACAAGCTTGAAGGCAGGCATACAAATCTGAAGACAGGATACCATCTGACACGATAGGCGTATTAGGTGAAGAGGATAAAGATCTCTTATACTTATGCATAAGATCTATAAATTTACTTGTTTCTACAGTAGCTGAACGAATTGTTTCAGTACGACCATGTTTAAAAGTTGATGTACTGCATGGTTCATAGGTAGCGACTCGTTCACTGTGTACAGCGTCATAAGCTAACTTGAGATAAAAAGAGAGGGGAGTGGGGGGAGGAGAAAAGTACTTTTACTTATTGGTATACTAACAATTTCAAAAAACTTACTGCTAATAAATTCAACACCAAATCATGTCAGTTAAGTTTACAATGTGGCCACCATGCTAGGTTGCTAACTTACTTTGCTTTACTTTACTACGGCTATCTCCTACGGGAGGATGAGCCGGCTTCATGAACATCTCGAATCATCGCTGCCCAGGCGCGGCGATCTGATGCAAGAGAGTTCATGAAGTTTCATGGGAATTTGGTACGAGTGATGTCCCCAGAATCGCTCGGCCTTTTGTTTGAGAGTGCAGCTCTAGCCTTTACACAACCAAGTGTGACCTACAAGGCAGTAGGAGTGGAGTAGGGAGTCCACTATCCATTGGCAGTCGGTGACCGGAGTTCGGTTCATACGCCTTTTCGAATGGGGCCAGACATCCAGGACATCCAACAGGCCCTTTGTCCATACGTCTGCCGGTGAGCTCCAGTGAGCTTCATACGCCAGTCGTTGGAGGTTTGGAATCAGGGTTTAGCCATCTCCCCTAGACTGTCATCCAATGGACAGTCAACCCAGTGAAGAGCGCCGGGCATCCGCTTTCGCCCTCTCACTTTGGTGAAAAACACCTCCGCCACGTGAAGGCAGTGAGTAGGACTTCCTCAGGAGAGGCTATGTAAGACGCCCGGTCATATGGGAGCATTTCAAGAGGTGTGCGGAGGGGTGGCCAACCCGCAGCGCAAGGCACCCAACCCCGACCATCCTGAGGCTTCGGACGCCATCACGATGTACTCTGAATTGTTGTCATTAGACGGTTGGAGCCCAGCTTGACCTAGGTTTTGCGCTTCATGGCACTCACCAATCAGCAAGGTGTATCTGAAATATTGACGGAACTCATGTCCTTTTTGAGATTCATCCAGTGCTGCATTCAGAGACGTTACTACTGGGCTATTCGAGATCTCGATTGAACACTAGGCAGTAAGTAACTGCTGTCATGTGTCCAATTTTGCAATGTGGCCACCATAACACTGATTACTATCTATTATCAAATCAAAGTATCCAATGCAGTCCTTATTTATCAATTTAATTTTATTCCTTTACCTTCCGAGTGGAACACGGGGGTTCAAGCTAAAGCTTTACAGTTTCGGTAGCAGTGGATTTTCTTTTATGGGGTGAGGTCGTTACCCTCACACACCCAACCTTCTCGCTTTACTGGCGTTACTACCGGCTAAGCGAGGTTTAAGGGTACATCGACAGGGGATAGAATCTCGGACCACGTTTGTGGTTGGCGAGCGTTCTACCGCTAAACCACCGACGCCAATACAATCCTACAGGAGACCAATCAACCGAGATCTCGAATAGCTCAGTGGTAGCGCCTCTGACTGAACCAATTTACAAATGTAAAGCACAATATAACTGACGTAATCAAGCAGAAACAGTACACGGAAAGAGAGTAAGCAAATACTCCAGTATGAGTAAAATACTCTTCAATAAAAGTTTGAAATCTCCCTGACTGACTTCTCTTTCTTGATTAGAAGTATGTAGTGAAACTTAAAATTGACAACGCAAAATAGACAGTACTGTAAAGATATCTACGGTAGAAAACGTTCACCCTACTTGTATCGCCTATAGGCTTCTTCAACGAGCAATGTTAGTTAATGTCGAATTAGGTTGGAATGGTGAAAAGATTGAAGGCACTTCCTCAAGCTACCATGTCATTTACCGTTGTTCACAACCATTTAAGGAAACCTAGGTCAATTGGCTGACGTCATTAGAATCGACGGTTGGAGACTATTATAAGGCACGCCTTAAAAGTGTTTATAACGAAGCAGATGTACTTACTTTTAACCGATTTCTATTCCCTCTAGTTGTGAAGTTTCCTGAAATAAAGCATCTTCAAGTGATGCACTAACATGCAAATTTCTATAATGATTTTTCAGTGGGACTACAACAGGACAAATTGGAAGGGCGGGCAATACAGTATACACTCCCACATCATACCCCCTCAATGCTAGTGATACTATCTAAGCATTACAATAAAAGTTTCGCCGATACTTCCCATTCAGTAGACTAATGTAAGGGTAGAATTTAGGCACTGTGGTAGGATAGAACTCCATATTAGATAAGTTTATTTAACATAACATACATTGACACAGTGTGACGACAGAAGACAAGAGCCAGGCAACAGATTGTCTACCAAGAAAATCAACAGGTATTTAGAGGTTTTTATTCATATTATTATTCGTTATTGTTAGCGGAGAAGCAACGTCTTCTGATTGGTTGTTTTCCCACTGGAGGTTATTCTGTCATCTCCTTGTTGCCGTTCCTTAGAAGGTCCGGTGGTATATCTGCGAATCGTATGGACCCACGCTAGGTCTGCTGTGATTGGTTGTTGAGTTCCTCATGGTCAGGCTTTGTTCTTGTTTTATGTCGTGACCCCGATTCGGGACGTAAACATTGACGTAAATTGTTGTCTACAATTTTGGCTAGCACCACAAAAGCACTAATAACTGAATGACGTTTCCAGAACGATTTATATCTCATAACCTATGCAATTCACCTCGTTTAAAATCATTACATGCTATTTGGTAAATAATAATATTTTTCTCAATTGGATCTCTGAGCGCGTTGATTAGTTTAAATGCCACCCTAATTTTAGCCTTACTAAGAATCCTACCTAGGAAATCTGATGTTCCTTCTCTATACGCCGGTATTATAGAGACTTTGGATTTCATATTATTCAAGTTATTTTTGTCATTTTCACTACTACTCTTATTTTTCCTATTGGTCTTCATACAATTTTGAACAAATTCCGGTAGATAATTATTCATCTGTTTGACTTCATTATTTAAATCTTTTAACTTACTAGTTAAGTAAATGGCCCAATTATATCGACATTTGACTAAGCCTATGGTGAGTGCTGTCTACTAATTAAAATTGTAGACAACAATTTACGTCAATGTTTACGTCCCGAATCGGGGTCAAAAGATAAAACAAGAACAAAGCCTAACCTTGAGGAACTCACTAACCAATCACAGCAGACTTAACGTGTGCAAATACGAATCGCAGGTACATCGCCTGACTTTCTAAGAAATGGCCACAAAGCGATGACAGAATAACCTTCGGCAAGAAGACAACCAATCAGGAGACATTGCTTCTCTGCTAACAATAACGAATAATAATGTACATAGAAATCTATAAATATCTCTTGATTTTCTCAATAAACGATCTGTTGCCTGGCTCTTGTCTTCTGTCGTCACAAGTCTATCTCTACGGATTCTGGATGGGATACAATGAATGCTAAGTACTTATTCAAGTATGTTAGTTTTCTATAGATGATAGTAACCAACCCACCATCTTGTTTTCATTTTATTTTACAGTCTAGCATGATCAATTCAGCCTGTTTATTTTCTGACTCAAAAGTGGATTAGATTTTATTTACTACTAAGTTTAGATGTGAAGAACTTAAGTATATACATTTAGATTCTAACACAGTGAATGTGTATTACATCCACATATCTCCACCATAACCTACAAGCACGATTAAACCATCTTAGAGCTTGATATTCTGAACTATCCATAAATATGTCTGCTGATTTTGTAGAAGCTGTGGTAATACATATTCACATGATTACGAATACCGATAAATTGTGCTCAAAATACCACCCAGTTAGCAATACTATATCACTATGTGTTATATATTATATAAACTTATCTAATATGGAATTCCACTCAGTAGAGGCTGTATTATTATTGTCAAAATGATAGCAAACTGAAAACGATGACTAGGAAGATATACGCAGGAACCTCTGCACAAAACGAACAAAACAGGAATTGGCAGAAGTTAGAATTCATGGGCCATTGGATCGGGTCCCAGTGGCTTAATGGTATACAAGTTCGCCTTGTAACCAGAAGGTCCTGGGTTCAAACCCTAGCGGTGGGTGCGTACTGATGAAGAGTCCGAAACTAGGATGAAACAGCTGTCCAGTACTCCCAGCTTTTCCAATGGTTCTCTAACCAATGTCAGCTCATAATGAAATCCTGTAACCAAAACAGGAACAGCCTGAAGAAGACCACAAGATAAACATACATGAAGAAGAAGAAAAAACAGTTGATTGTTACATCGAAGGCATAAAAAATAAACAAATAAATTTACCTGAAATAATAATTGCATTATACTGTCAGGACTTAAACCAAGCGATTTACACAATTGTCTATTAATTGAATCTCTTTTGTCTACACAACTAAATGTCAGCTTATCTCTCCATGCATTGTATATTGATTCATTAGGCTGAATAATATTCAGTACAAAGTCATCATCTAATATCCATTCAATACGTTTAACAGTTGGATTAGGTAGACTGAAATGAAAATGAGAAAAAGAAAAGAAAAGAAAGAGAGGGGAAACATACAGTTGAACGAAAAACAAAAAAAACTTGGTGAAAATGTGTCAACGAATAGAATAAGTGCGCTGAAGTGTGTTATTTATTATCTTTGATCAAGTTGTCACCATTAAGTGTTTATGAGGGAGATTGGAGTGGATTGGATTGAATTCAAGCTGGATAAAGCTATGAAACAATATCAGTTAAAATAAATAACAAAACTAGGAATCTAAGTATACAACTTGGGCACTGTGCTGGTAGAGTATATCTCCATTATGGATGAGATTTTATTTTGATAAATCACACAGTGTTTGTTATACAGTAATATTTACTGGTGAACACGTTTTGAGCACAAATTATTGCCACTCATAATTACATCAAGATACTCACACAACTTTTTTTGCTTCATTTATCTACAGCAGTAAAACTGATGTCAGCTCATGATGAAATTCCCCAACCAGTCAAACAAACAAAAATTCCCTATAAAACCAATATTTGAGATATTGACCTGATGCTCACTATCGACTGGTCCTATTCAGCCAGTGACCAGCCAGGGTTCTAGTGGGAAGCCGTGACCAGTAGGGTACAGCAGCTTGAAGGTGAGGCAGTAACTCATCGAAGAGGACATTGCGAAGTGGTCACATTGTATCATGAAATGGCAGAAGTTAGAATTCATGGGCTGGCCATTGGATCCGGTCCCAGTGGCTTAATGGCCTACCAGCTCGCTAGCCTTGTAACCAGAATGTCCTGGAGCCTATTGATGAAGAATCCCAAACTGGGCTAACAAAACAGCTATCCAGTACTCCTTGCAGGTTTTCCAGTGGTCCCCTAACCAAATGTCAGCTCATGATGAAATTCTCCAACCAATCAAATAAAACTGATTAGACATTTAAATAAAATCAACATAAGATAAAGCATATTCGCAAATAATATTAGTGTTATCAATAAAATATACTACGATGGGGAATAAGATGCTTTTACAGTAAAATAAATAAATAACTTGTTAGAATGCTATAGTGTGAATTGAAATAAATTTAATCATTACTTATTATCCCCTGATTTGATTGGTAATAATATCTTCCATATCTCTGATATTTGAGTTGAGTCATTTCTATTGCATGTGATGGGTGTAGACTCGATGAACAAGGATTCAGTAATCAACCTCTCTCTCTCCATACAGTGTGACTGCTGAACTTTTTTCTAGATTGCTTATCTTCGCGGGGTCAGTCATCCTACACTTAGCTGAATTCCTATGTTCGAATAATCTGACTATTCCCAGTATACTGGTTTGACTGACCTATGTAGTTGCCCTAACTCACAGTCATTGCAAGGTATTTTGTAAATTATATCATCCTTTTTGATCAGGTCAACCTACAGGGTATTATAACCTACACAGCTTGTCCCTGAGCGAGTTTGTAGGTTTGAATGCCACCCTAATTCCTGCATTATTGAGAATCTTACGTGGGGTCTCAGATGTCACCCCTCATATGGTAAAACTGTAGATGTCTTATATTCTTTCTTATTTACGTTACCATTATTAGTATCACCATTATTTTTATTTTGCTTTTGACCTTTTTTGATCTTTCTAATGAATTTTGTACGATAGTTATTTAACATAAAAACTTCTTCTACCTGTTTCATTTCATCATTTAGGTATTTTGTTGTACTACTAAGTGCTACTGCTCGGTTTCTTCAACACTTAACTAAACCAACCTTTACAGATAAATGATAAGATAATTAAAGTCTAAATATCTGTTAGCAGAATGTGTTGGCTTTTTATAATTGCCAGCGTGCAGTTTAACTTCTTATGTTCGTTTTATTTTACAGTTTAACATCACGGCTAATTCTCCTTGTTCATTTTCCGAATCAATTGTGAATTTTATTCCCTTTACCAAAGAATGTAGTGATGTTACTTTCTCCAAACTGAAAAAAGGTTTAACTGCAAAGCTTTCATTGTCTTTCTAGGCAACATTTTCAGCTTTAACTTTAAGTCGATTGGCTAACTTTTTAATGGTGGATCAGTTCAAGTTATCACACTTCATATAGAGCACACAAAGGTAAAGAAAACAATTCGAAGCAAGTATGATAAGCAGAAATGTATGGTAGGAAGAATAATTACATGGAAAACCACCTTTCTCCAACCTAGTCTAATATCAGCTAACATTGCTAGACGAGAAAGCTGGTGGCTGTCTCAGTATGTGCCACATGTGTCTCAACCATCTCAATCCATGTAGCTTGTTATATACACCTAGTTTTGCCTATAACCTCAAAATAACTATTTTGAGAAGATATCGCGCACTGGCGTGAGCCCATTGGTTTTCCCTCTGTTTGAATTGCTAGATTCCTATTGGCTGTTAATACTTTTAATGCATCAGTGAATTACTGCATTTTAAAGGTCATTCTAACTGTATATAAACAGAATTTCTGTCCAGTAATTTGACTGTTGTTTGAGACAGTAAAACCTGTCTTGTCGACGTACAGTCTTTTCTCTTGTCTTTGCGTGCCAGCGGTGTTATTGTTGTTGACGTTGACGTGGGATTAGGACAGATTAGCCAGCGCATTAATTTAGTATTCGCTTATAGTCTACTAGGCCGTAGTCCCTGTCATAACAGTTTTCCCACACTCTCATCCATTGACTTCCCTTCCTTACTTAGCGCGCTTGGCGACTAACCTAAATATTATTGACCATAGTATGAAAAGGAAGAAAAGATAAAATACACTAAGCATAACAGGTATACATAAACCTACCTATCAGTATTTTTAAGCATTGAAGGATCTACAACTGGATGCTTTTCAGAATCGATATATACATCAGTGAATAAACGTGAAATCGTCACACCATCACCCCAACTATGCTCAAAATTAATAGCTGCATAACCAGATTGATTCACTAACAAACTGAAGCTCTTATCAAACCAACGTGATTTTGATGAACCGGATAGAAATTCTGGCAACTTGATAATTAATAATAATAACAAAAACAGTATGAGGATCAAAGACTGTTTAAAATCACAGCAGGGCGAGAATTAAAAGAATATCACATCAGTGCTTTTGGTGAATTGGACAAAAATAATTTTAAAAGACCTCCCAGTGGCTGAATGGTCTACGAGCTTGCCTTAGAGCCATAAGGTCTTGGGTTCGAAATCCGGTGGATGAGTACTGCCGGTGAGTACCTAGCTAAGACGAAACAGCTGTCCACTACTTCCTGGTTTTCAACGGGTCTCTAAATGATATTGATCCATGGTCAAACTTTAAAAAACCTTATTTGTACCTGCAGTCGACTTCTAACAGGACGTAGAAATGTGGCTTATTCGATTAAGTACTCGATTTTCAGCCACTTCGTTCTGGGCTCGAATCTTGCACCGTTCACTTCAGCTTGAATAGATGAGTAGTATTATCAGCCCTCACACATAGAAACTTTTCCGGGTTACTGATTTCTAACTAATATACCCCTTATTATCACCTATTAAAATTTTGATTACCGTGGGCTGGATTGTGCAGAAAGCCGTGAGAGAAAAAAGACATACGTTAGACCAACAAGAAGTCTCTAGAAAATCTGGACTTCATGGATGACATGTCTAGCTTGACATTAACTCAGAGATCTACAGGCAAGAAATAACAAGTTGACAGCAGATGCAGCAAAGACGGGATTTCAGGTGAACATAGAGAATACAGGGATGATGAGGATGCCAGACTACCAACAACAACAACAAGCATCATTCCCCATCAACAGTAGAAATCCAGACAGCATTGATTCAACTACAGGTGGCACGGATGACGGTGAAAAAGCCAACCAGAATTGAGAAAGCAAGAGAGACACCCATCAATTTGAAATCTACGTGTAAATTTGCTGCACTCAACACGAGGAACAACACTAGTGTCAAGTCAGTGCTTGTTTATTTTTCAGCGCGTCACGAAAAGCACTCGTAACTCACTGCTGCAGACTTTCATGAAGAGCTACCTTAGTCGGCTCCACACTGAAGATCAAATGACCAGAAAGGACTAATAAAAATGAGTTCTGGAAAAGTACCAGCCAAGAATGTATCACCCAACAGATACACCGAAAAAATAGAGATCGATCGGACACGCGCTGAGGAGACTTTAGACTAAAATCAAGTGCCGGGGCCTAGAGTGAACACTGAGTAGGGAACGACAAGATGAGTGTCCCAAGGTAATATGGTGAGGATCGTGTGTGAAGGAGGTGAAAGCTTACGGGCAGTTGAGGAGCCGTCTAAGGAGGATCGTAGGGAACAGGGTGAAATGGAGATATGTTGCTGAATCTCTGTGTTATTAGTATTAGTGTTGAGTGACCACAGAACTTGTAGGACATACGATCAAGGCCAAACACTTGCGGCCTATTTGGAGAGGTTTCAGAAGTGGAACACAGGCTTACAACAGCACATCTCCATTTCATCCTGTTCTCTGAAGTCCTTTCTAGGCCCAGGGTTCATGTCACCCTCAGACGCTCGACTGTTCCCTTCCCACTAAGGTCTCATACCAGGGTTTGGCAGGTGAAGTTACCCAACAGTTTCTCATTAACCTGGACATCATGTTTTACATGTCTTAAATGAAGACTCACAGACGTCGTAGAGATGAGTGTTATTGTGGATGGGGCACTATTTATGCAGTTATAAATTGTTATGAATTATGAATTTAGCCGACGTATGTGTACATCTCATAACTGTAGACTGTCAATCGAAGCATCCACATGTAAACACACGACTTTTACCACTTATACTATCATTATTATTTATTCAAATACAAACTTGGTATAGTAGGGACGAAAAAAACTATCGCACAGAAGACGATAAAATTGACATAAAGAAAAAGGAGAAAATAGTTGAGGAGGAACAACCGGATGAAATTGATAAGCTTACTTATTAACACAGCATCCATTAATTCATATTACTGTTCAGAATGCCATAAAGGAAGATGCTAATCCCACATTTTTCGCTCACTAGTCCTAGTACAAGTCACATAAGTTGGTGTCCAAAAGTTAGAATCACCTGATGAGAACTAATCTCCATCTAATTTATACATATTCAGTCGAGTCGAATAAGTCAAACGATATCGCTACTGAATAGAAAGAATTCCACAGAGACAGTAATCACCCCAAACACATACAGAGTCGTTACATCTCCTCAGCTCGACGATGTCAGACTTTAGTTAACAGAACTGGAAGAATTTCATTGTCAAAATTTTAATGAAAGCACACAAGAGCAAAATTTAGAAGCTGACAATATTCAGATAAATAGCATATTACGACAGATAAACAAGGAGTGGAAAGCAAAATGTTGAAACTGGGTGATGATTACGAGAGCTTTGTGTCCTTATAGAAGTGTATGACTGGTTATTACTAATTACCGGCCGCACACACTAAGAAAGTTAATTTTTTCTTCTCTTGAAATACCTTGAGTGACCGCAGACATACGATCGACGCCAAACACATGTGGCCTGTTTGGAGTGGTTTCAGAAGTTGCATCTGCACGAAGACATTACCATGTGCCTCCTACAAGGATGTACAATTTCCGAGTCGACTTTTACTGTCTTCTTGGTCTCGAGAACCGAGAGGCAGCATATCGGCTGTCTTATCGGTCTTCCGAAGGAAACTCCCTGCTATCGTTACACCGCTAATTGCCAGCACTACGAGTTTGCCCTTAGACTCCAACATACTGTAACCGCCATCCGGACGACTATTCCGGCAAAGTGAGACCTGCAGGAATATTAGTTCCAGTTAGTGTAGCTCATAAACGTCTATTTACCCCTCAACAGATAATCGACATTAATGAATCCAAGTAACAGATCTCAAAAGTTGAGAAAGACACATCAATTGGAAGTGTCAATAATAAAAAACAATGCCGAAACCTACCGCATTCACATGATTGACAGCTGTTTCATCCGTTAAAGTCAAGACAAATAATGCTGAATCGATTAAATTTAATGAAACTTGATTGCCTAGATCAATTAAACGTTGACGTGCCATAAATGCTTTATCACGTGACATTGCTGTAATCACACCAATCGATGGTGGAGGTGGATTTGTCAGCTTGAGTTGTTTTAATATAAACTGAAGGTTACTCAACAGTAGATTGGCGGGAATAATTTCACCCTTTACATAAAATATCAAAAATTGTGGGGGAAAATGTTAATTAAATAAAGAAAAATTACCTTTTTATACGAACAATAGTCTAAAAAGAAGTAAAACAAAACTTCACTATCTAGTAACATGACGAATTTATAGCGTAACCCATCAGACCATTACAGATAGCCGTAAAAAGTATTACAAGTCAGACTACGGACTGACAGCAATTGAAAAACTATTGGCCAGGAAGTACTGAACAATTGTTTCTTCCTAGCTTAGGACTCTTCAACACCAAGGACCCATGATACTACTGAGGGTTGTATACAGTTCCTTCAGGTTATGAGATCATCCAGCCACAGGAACGGAATCCGATATTCCATGAATCCCAACTTCTGTCATTTTGCGATTGATAAACCCCCCACTAGTCAATTTCAGCGAGTCAACAAGCTCGCCTCATAACTTGAAGGTCCACGGTTCGATTTCTCATGGGCGTATGGGCCCATACAGTCGAAGAGTCCCAAACTAGGACAAGAACGCTGTTCAGTACTCCATGGTTTTCAATGACTGGATCTATGAATGATATCAGCTCGTGATCTAGTTTGAAATCGATCAACCAACACTTGAGCAATAAAAACATGTGTCAGTCTTAGAGAGAGGATATATATTAGGAACGCTAGAGAATTCTTAAAAGTCTACTACTTAAATGAATCTGTAATTAACAAACAGCCAATGGCATACATTCGCTATATATGTCCTCATTCTACTGGACAATCGATTTTTAACAAGGGGAATACAAATTCAAACCCCATTCTGTTTACCAATGAGGCATCAACAACCTTTACACAATCTGATGAGCCACGGGTGATAAAAACACAGTGCTGGCAATAATAATAATAGTTTTTGCTTTATTCCAGAAACAGTACTAGTGGTACAGTGTGGAATTTTCAGCATATATCTACAATATTTGCATCTAATTTTATCCAACGTTTAAAAGAAGTATTTTCAAAAAATAAATAAATATAAAGAAAACAGTAGCAACAAAAACACAAAAATAATTTTAAAAATGCGAAAGAATACCAAGAAGTAGAAAGGAAAAGAAAACAAACAGCATATAATAATATCTCAGTATAGGGTAGTGGAAGCTATGATATGATTATGCATGGTGAACAGTAAAGCTATACTCATACAAGAAGTTATGAAATGATATTTAAGAATATTTATCGCCAAGAAGATCAGTTAATTTGGTTGAAACAACTCTAAACAATCATAAAATAACATTTCAGGGTTGTTGTTTTGTTTTTTATTGTCAGGTCTAATGCAGTGTTTGTAGTGGTAGTGTGAGTAATCCTGAATAATACAAAATTTTAAGATGATGATAATGGCGTTTACAACCAATGATTGTCAGTTAATATTACATGATGGTTAATGACAGGACAATTTTGTAATACTCATAATGCTAATATAGTCGGAACCAGTAGATACACAAAAGAAGGAATAGAATAAAGTACTAAAAAGTAAGCCAATGTTAATAACTTAGGTAGCTTAGTATGTTTAAGAGGGAGTTCACTTTAGAATACAAAATAAGAGAGAAATAAAAGAGCCTAAAATTATGTTGTTAACAACAAAGCAAGTCATAGGTTTCGCGCTTAACATTGTCTCTGTCGCATAGAACATGGGCCAAATATGGTATCGTTGAGTTCCTGTTTTTGGTTGTACGAGCATATATTATTTTATACTGATTTCTGGTTCTACTTGATGAGATACAAGGCAAGAGTTGGGAATAGAGAGGGTGTTGGGGGTCGGAGAGTATGGTTTTAGACCATTTTCCGCATGTATTCAGATGCCTATCAACTAATGTAGTGACGAGCTGACTGAGTTTTACACCACTAGTCCTACTAACTACCTTCAACATCCTTCTCGGGATAGTATAGTCCTTTTTCAGTAGCCCAGGAAAGACTAACGGGGAGCAGAAATTAGAATAGGTAAGATACGAGAGTGGACAATTTGTGAAAGTAGAGGTTGGGTGATTCCAGATTGTCTAAGTTTCTTAATGTAGTAGGTTAGACAGAACACTTTCTTCGAAATCGTTAGGATAAGAGATGTCCAAATAAGGTCAGAAGATAGAACTAGACCGAGCTATTTTTCATTAGACTTAGTTTCAATTTTAGTCCCCTCAATGCAACAGGCTTCATGAGTACTTACTAGTGTTTGTAGATCAATAGTCTAGCATTTTGAGGGATTCAGCATGAGGCCATTTAGTTTAGACCACTGACTGATGTCCGACAGGAAGCTATTTAATTTGAAACAGTCTGACTGAGACTTAATGGGAAACGATACAGTCAGGTCATCTGCATATTTGACGAAGTTGATTTCGTCTGAAAGAGGTAAATCATGTAAGAAGAAGGAAAAGAGGAACGAAGAGAGAACAGCACCCTGAGGAACTCCAGCTTCAGTGAGCAAGGGAGAGGAAGATACACCATTATATACCCTGTACTGCATCCTATTAGAGAAGTAAGAGTGTAGCCAACTGATAGCCTAGGGCTCAGTTTGTGTAAGACTAAGCTTGTTTAACAATAGGCCTCTAGGTACAGAGTCGAAAGTAGATGTATAATCAAGGAACGTACAACGGACATACTTGGCCCCTTTATCTAAGGAGGATAATACCAACTAATAACAATAATAAAATAATTCTCTATCGATACATACAACGGACTGATATGAATAGTTCACCCAAGTAGCCAATCAGAATTTAGGCGATCTCAACTGATTCGACTATATGATCTGAGTATATGAAACTGGATACTTCTGAAGAGCTCGACCACGAGCTGAGATGAGTGGCGTCCAACCACTACTCATACCAATCAGTCAGTGATATATATACTATACCAAGCTATTTCTCTTGCTTTCTTAATTTCCATTTATGCTATCAAGCAGATCAGATCACATATTTTGATCTAAGTAATTTTTACTTTATTTTGATTTGACACTAGTAACTAGTGTGATGCGTCTAGTCCTCTCTTTGGTGCAGACTGAATTCTATCAGTCAGGTTGTAATGTGGCCACCATTCTAGGTAGCTCGCCATCACGGTGTTCATAGTTTGTGATGATATTAGGTGGTTGGAGGCAATCGGCAGGAAGCCTTGGACCAAGGTTTCGTGCTAGTTGGCACTCATCAGCAAGGCGTATCTGCAACCTTGAAGGAACTGATGTCCCTTCTGAGATTCGAACCCGCGTCAATCGCGAGCCCGAATAGCTCAGTGGTAACGTCTCTGACTGCAGCACTGGGTGACGCGGGTTCGAATCTCAGAAGGGACATGAGTTCCTTCAAGGTTGCAGATACGCCTTGCTGACGAGTGCCAACTAGCACGAAACCTAGGTCAAGCAAGGCTTCCTGCCGATTGCCTCCAACCACCGGCCGATAACTGCTACCTTGCCGTGGTGGTCGGGCTTGAATGCCGCAGTGACCCAACAAGCTTAACTGGCTGGGACTCATGTCCCTGCAGGTCCTACCATGCCAGGAAGGTTGTTTGGATAGCGGTTAGACTAAAAGCAGTTACCATGGGGTACATGGGCTCCAGAATCCAAACGGATCAAATGGCGTATGAACCCATATGGGTCACCGGCAACCATGGGAACGCAGCACCTGACGCTGCTCCGCTGCCTTGCGGATTAGACTCCAAGTCAAAGGCTCGGGGGGTGGTCCCTTAATAAAACCACCTGCTTCGGTCTGGGCGCCCGGGCAGTATCTCAGCCCGCACACGATGAATGAATTGAAACAACGAAGCCTCATTGAAACTCAACGCGCGCTGGTGAAAAATGATTCAAAGCAATATTGATCCCTCAAGCAACTTATTTCCTTCCTATCTTACTATTATTTTTACACATAGTTTCCTGTATTTTACCTTTTCTAACCTTGGCTTCTTAACCTTCGACAGCCTTTCGCCTTTGTCGAGATTCCCAGCCTATCCGTGTCGTTTCGAGATGTTAGTGAGTAGTCCTCAAAATGGTTGTTCCCAATGTGACTTCTAACACAGATATCCTGAAACCGCGTGCTGCGTTCAAGCTGGCTACCTACAATGTTCGGACGCTGATGCAAATCGGACAACAGGCAGGGTTGGCAAGAACTTTGGAAAGCCTCGCTATCGATGTCTGCTGCATTTCGGAGACCCGCATTCAAGATCCCAGTGAAGTGCTTCGACTGTCCTCTCCATCTGGAAGTTCTAGTAGTATGTACCACCTGCGCTTATCCGGGGACCCTGTGGCATCAGCACCCGGCGTAGCTGGTGTCGGTGTCGCACTGAGCGCTAGAGCCGAAGCTGCACTGCTCGACTGGATTCCCATTAACAGTCGTTTATGTGCTGTGAGGCTGGAAGGATATACGAAAGTAAGGAGTAGTAGGCCAGATAGGCGGTGTCTATTTGTTGTCTCTGCCTATGCACCGACGGATTGCAGCCCGGATGCAATGAAGGATGAGTTTTACTACCAACTGAGCGATCTGTTGAAACAGGCGGGTCGGAGGGATATCGTAGTGCTAGCTGGGGACTTGAACGCACAGGTCGGGCGTCTAAGCTCAGAGGAGAGTCGTCTAGGTGGTCAGTGGGGACTACATGGTCGCAGGTCAGATAATGGGGACCATCTTCTGCAGCTTTGCGCAGATCACAACCTATTTCTAGCCAGCACCAACTTCCGGCACAGCCATCGCCGTAGCGCTACCTGGCGTCCTCCCTCTGCGAAGCAAGCTTGGACTCAGATTGATCATATTGCGGTCAGTTTCCGGTGGCGAGGATGCATACAAGACTGTCGCTCCTTCTGGAGCACATGCCTGGACTCCGATCATGCGTTAGTGTGTGCCAAGTTCGTCTTGCGATTTGGTGGGGTTCGTAAAAACCGTCGTCTAAGCGTTGATGTGAGCAAACTAGTAGCACCTGCTACTTCTTTGAAATATCAGAACGAGTTGAAAACAATGCTTGCCAGCAACCCCCCAAATAGTATAGATGAACACTGGCTTCATGTGCAAGGTGCCATGCAAAAGGCGAGTGTAGCCGCTTGCGGCTTGAAAGAATGCTCCGCTAACAACCACTGGGTTTCTGCGAGTTCCTTGCAACTCATGGATGAACGCCGGTCCATTCCGGCTGGCAGTGAATACAACAATCAGCGAAAGGCGCTCACGCGCAAGATTAGACAGTGTTTACGTAAGGACCGCGAAGCCTGGTGGTCAGAACGTGCGTATGAGATGGAGTCAGCTGCTGCATCTGGCAACAGTCGGAAGCTGTTCCAACTCATACGAGCCACCGGCAGCAAGAAACAAGGTGTCAGCGAGACGGTCTGTGAGGCAGATGGCACTCCAATTACCAGCCTGAAGAGACGCCTGGAACGCTGGGCAGAGCACTTCGGGAAGCAGTTCAGCTGGCCACCAGCTTCATTGTCTACTATCATTAGCCCGAGTGCTCCTTGGTCGGTTAGTACCGACCCACCCACCGAAGCGGAGGTCCGTAAGGAACTCCAAGTTCTGAAACGCCATAAGGCGCCCGGCCCAGACAAATTACCCCCGGCTCTTTTTAAAGAGGGTGGCGAGACTCTCATAATGGCTCTAACTGGGTTGTTCAGGAGGGTGTGGGAGACAGAGAGCGTACCATCAATGTGGAACGAAGCCATTATCGTCCCCATCTTTAAAAAGGGTCGACGTAATTCGTGTGACAACCATAGGGGTATCAGTCTGTTACCAGTTGCGTCTAAAATATTGGCTGCTGTCATGCTTCGCAGACTGTGCAAAATACGCGAAGGATTGATTCGCGAAGAGCAGGCTGGGTTTCGTTCAGGTCGTGGATGCATTGATCATGTGTTCACCCTTCGTCAGTTGTTGGAACACCGCCACACGTATTGCAGGCCAACGATCGTTGTGTTTCTTGATATTAGGGCTGCCTTCGATTCGTTGGACAGAACTGTGCTCTGGAACTGTCTGTTAGAGAGAGGTGTACCTGAGAAATTTGTTAACATCTTGAAAGCCCTATACAGAAACACCTCAGGTAGAGTGAGGGCATACAACCAACTATCACCACTGTTCCCAACCAACAGTGGGGTTAGACAGGGTTGCCCAATCTCACCATTTCTCTTTAACTTTGCCATCGATGACATTCTGGAGTCAGCTCTGAAGGATGTGCGTGAAGGTGGTGTAGATCTGCTACCTGGAGATAGACTTTTCGACCTCGAGTATGCAGACGATATCGTCTTACTGTGCGATAGCATGCAGGCTGCCCAAATCGCACTTAATCAGTTGGCGATCAGTGTCTGTAAGTATGGTATGTGCTTTGCGCCGTCTAAGTGCAAAGTACTGTTACAAGATTGGCAGGAGCCTGTACCTGCACTCACTCTTGCGGGTGAACCGCTTGAAGTTGTCGATAAGTTTGTGTACCTAGGTAGTTGTGTGAGTGCTGGCGGAGGGGTGACGGATGAGATTTCTAACCGTATAATGAAAGCTAGGGTGGCATACATCAACTTGAGCCACCTCTGGCGCCGTCGCGACGTTAGCCTGGCTGTCAAAGGTCGGGTATACAATGCTTCGGTGCGGGCTGCGCTGCTCTACGCCTGTGAAACCTGGCCTCTCCGAGCTGAGGATGTGAGGCGACTCTGCGTGTTCGATCACCGCTGTCTCCGCAGGATTGCTTGCGTTCGATGGCATCATCGCGTGAGTAATTCTGAGGTTCGGCGGCGTGTGTTTGAACACAGTGGAGATCACCATTCATTGAATGTCGTCATCTGGAAACACCGGCTCCGGTGGCTTGGGCATGTGCTGCGAATGTCACCCCAGAGGCTTCCGTACAGGTCTCTGTTCGCTAGCCCTGGGACGGGCTGGAAAAGGCGGAGAGGTGGTCAGCCCATGACGTGGCGTCGTGGGATGAAGGATATTTGTGCTAGATTAGCATCGGTTGGTGTGTCACGACTCCCTGGTTGGGGTCTGAGAGATAGCTCAAATCGATGGCTCGAAACGTTATCGGATATGGCCAAGAATCGTAATCAATGGCGAATGTGTTGCGATTTCCTTCTTTCTTCCATTCCCGATGATAGTTAACGAACACTGTTTGAACCTGTTAAGAATGAGTGTTTTCCTTCCAGATGAAGTTCATTATTCGTTCTCTACTTATATATATTTTTTCTTTTCCTGCCTTCCTTTTTTCATCTATGTTGTTTTATTATTATTGTGTGGCGCATCCTTCTTGGTGCCATATTGTACCAAGTTTTAATGCGTTTAAATAAATAAATAAATCACAATTTTTACTTTCCAAAGGGAAGTGTTGTGATGTCTCACCTCAAACTGTATATAACTGGTAAATATTAAATTTGATTCCTACAATTCTATGTTTACACACCCTCAAATAAAAACAAACAAGGCGAATTACTTACGCATTCATCTAATACATCAAAGTAATAATAATGTCCATTGTGAATAACCAATAAATGATGTGATCGATTAAAGTTAACTAGTTGATCACAATCATTGCCAGGCAGACGAGTTGAGCAGAACATATTTTTGTATTGACTTGTATCCAGTGGATAAACCTTGAAGTTTCGAGACAAGAAAAGAGAAAAAACAATCTTCAGCAAGTTGAAAACTAGGAAGCCATTTTTAATTGGTTGCAGAACCATTATTATTATTAATATTACTATTTCACGTTAGATCACGGACTGATATCAGTTAGAGAACCACTGAAAACCAGGCAGTACTTGACAGCTGCTTCGTCCTACATTAGGACTCTTCAGCAATGTGCACCCATGACCCCTCCAACGGTCAAATCCTGGACCTTGAGGTTGCGGGATCATCCAGCTATTTGAGTCGGAATATAACAACCCATTAGTTTTAAACACTCTGTCAGTTCGTGACTTAGCGTTACTTCAAACTAGCGCTGTTGATGAGCATACGGTTCACCCTGATATTGTGGACACCATCGACTTCAAATTGTCATTATAACTTTAGAACACGCGTCTGTTAGCCACTAATAAGCTGAAGATTTATATTAAGTTTTTGGGTTTTATCGAGACTTGGATTAACTGCTGTATTTACGATTCAGGAACAGTACTGATTCGTAATCACATGTATAATTGAATTCATGTACGTTAGATGTCATTCGACCACCAAAGGAACATTCAATAATCTACAGTTTTTAACCCTTTCCTATTCTTAAAGTATTATAACCGTCAACCAGTGTTATCAGTGAGTGGCTGTCCATACATCCAAATTGAATGACTCTTAAGGAAATGACCATTTGGTACAAAGGTCAACGTGAGACACCACAAAATGTCATAGATACGCAGGAATCGGCAAGTCCCAAACAGATATCGATTACTCTTAAGTTTCTTATGATTCCGTAACACAAAGCATACTCTAAAAGCATACTTGTGGTAGTGTTTAGCAAATTTGAATGTAACAAAAGCCTTGGTCAGCCTTTTTCAATTTTCCATCTCCATGCTATCATTGATCTTGCATTTTAGTAAGTTTCGCAGAATTACGTCTATGTTCAAGACTGACTTCCTCGAGTCTGGAGAACTATTAGTCCAGCTTTCCTTACCCTAAGATTGTATACTAAGACAGCTGCAGTTCTTCAAACTAAACAGCATAGGACAAAAAATGAAATATACGTAAGAGTACTTTCACCTTTCACTTATGCATATATAATATCTCGTTATTGATAGAATTATGACTCATTGGCGTGAGTATTCAGTTTCAACCAAAGAGTTCCGGGTTCAAGATTCACTCTAACTAACAATACAAAACCTAGCAGCCTGGTATATTTTTAAGTGAAGGTACACAGAAAATTAGATGCTTCCAGGTTTGATGACGAATTGATTTCAGCTAGAGAACCACCAAAATCCACGAAGTACTTACTGAACAGTCTTATCATCTTCGTTTGGGACTTTTTAACAGTATTAACCAATGACCCGACCGAGGATCAAACCCAGGTTCTTCAGATTATGAGGCGAGCTAGGTGGTTGACGATTCAGCCAACAGGAAGGAACCCAATGGCTCATAAATTCAAAATTCTACCAATTCGCGCTATAAATAGCGCGACGCCCAGCCAATGTTGTCGTCCAGTATTCGTCACCAAACTCAACTAAGAGGACCCCGCTGGTCACAGTTTCTCACTAGGACTTCAGGTAGATTTATCCTGTAGTCAGTCACCAGCAAGCATCAGAACGATTCGTTGGAATTCGATAAATTTCATGACTGATCGCGAACTGACTTTAGTTAGAACTGTCAGAAGTTAGAAGTGATGGACCATTGGATTCCGGCCAACCCGGTGGCTGAATGGTCAACGAGCTCGCCGTGTAACCTGAAGGTCATAGGTTCGATCCCAGGGTGTGTACTGCTAGAAGGTCCCAAACAAGGACGAAACGGGGGTCAGTTAGTGATCAATGTTGAAAATCATCAAATCCCTGCAAAGCAACAATTGAAAATCCCAAAGTTTTCATAAATCTAGTACATCAAGTTATTTAAAAGTTTTAATGAATACACATAAACTCACATTAAACAAACGAGCAACATTGGATGCATACGACTGTGGTACACACCTGATTATCTTTTCAAAAAATGATGATTTTGACCAATCTTTCTTTGGGCAATACATCGGTGGTGATAATTCATTTTTAGAGAGTGATTTATAGAAACGAAGAATACTGTACACAAGATTCGTTGATCTAATTGCAGGCTAGATGAAAGGTTGAGTACGAGTATATACAGAAAGAAAAATCACAGTTATTCCTAATCAAGTATACAAAGTGGCAAATTAGCACATTGAAGAATGAAGCCAAAATTTACTGACAGTGTGAACAGGGCAGTATATTGAAGCTATAATAATCATCTGCAGTAGCAGTTACCTTAGGAGAGCATAAAGAAAGGAATACCTTCAAGGGGATAAGCGGTTAGGATTCCTGGCTTTCACCCCCAGGCGGCCCAGGTTCGACTCCCAGCGCGAGAGCGCTTGTGCATCGGTAGCACAGCAGTTAGGATGCTTGCCGACTATGCGCATGGTCCGGGGTTCGATGCCCGGCCGACGCATACCTGATATCAATGGTCGACCTGCTAAATTTGGGCTACCGATATCATATGCTGAAAATTCCAAAGACGTATCGAAATACAGTGTGGAATAAAGCTATCATAAAAAAAATCGTTTCCAACAGTACTACTGCCGAACATCTCATTTGATAAGGGGTCATAGGGTGAACACCATGAAATCCTTTAATATTATCAGTATAATTTAATTCTCCTCAAATTTTCCGAAGCAACTGCTTTCAAATGCTTGAAACTTGATTTATGGCTTCAGAAAGAAGTAATTATCAGCCCTTCCTTGTTCTGATAACTGGATACCTTTATTCTCCATTCTGTTGGATTACGCAGTCTTTGGCTTTAACCTCATCCCTTTTGATATAGTGTGACCTTGTTTGTCTGTTGTTTCTATGATTTGAGTTGAACTCATTACAGTACTACTCAATCTCTTAGTTACTCATCACACTACTCACCTCTTGTCTTTATCAAATAGCCCTTTTGATACTGTATCCAAGTGTCAATTTTTTTGTTTTGAACTTGAACTTTCTGGGTAAAAAAAACTACAAAAATGTAATTTTCTGAGCGCTGTTTATTTCGTCTGGAGTCTCCTGTCAACTGACGATATGCAACATTTGCAAGTATGCTAAGATTGCTATGTACAGAAACTTAATAATTTCTTTAGGCTGTACACAGATGATGAGAAACCGACGAAATAAACAATCGTACCACCTAATTCTGCATAAACTGTTGTTTTTTGCTTTATTAAAATTCATCGCGGAGGGGAGGGGGGTGAGTGTGTGAAGTTTCTGAAAAAGAGCCTCCTCACACAATAGTTAGCCTTGTGTAATTCACTTCTTTCAAAGTAGGTTAAATAACAATACGATATTAAATTAAGAACACATTTGGGTCAGTAAAGAATCTTTTTCTCGTTAATTCACTCCACACTTGTACGGTTGTTATACACAGTGTTCTAGAAGGTCGGGGAAATACCTATAAATTGTTAATTGTTATTATCTGTTGGCAATAAAACATACCAAACTACATATCAGGAAAAAATATATGTATAAATAAAAGACGGATTCAGCGAAGAAAATTTTCTTTATCGACGAAATCATCTTCAGAGGCTTTACAATCGTATTTATACTTACAAAAATATATAGTGGTCTATTATTGAGTAATAGGGGTGGGTGACATAATTGATATAATTACTCAGAAGTGGCTTTACAAGTGAAAACTAAAAGTTGAAAATTACGTGGTACTCAACGGCAAAAAGATAGAAATTTGATAAGGTTAAAATTGCTATCAAGTGAGAATAAAGGTATTTGAGCGTCAATTTAACAAGTGTGAAGAGGGTGTGAAAATATACAAAAGGAGCATATGAGAGTGATAATAGTGAATTAATTATTAAAGCAAAAGCTAACTAAAAGTGAAATTAGAATGAAAAGAAAAAATCAAAATATATTTTATTTACAAGGAACGATTAGTGAAGAGGTTAAGACCAAGGTAGAATAAGAGACTGGACAATCTTATTCTGTATACAGAGTTCAGGGTTGTATTGATGAATTGCCAGAGCCTCCACCAGAATCGTCTTTCAAGATCATCTACAAAGTGAAGCCAAATGGTACAAAGGGCGTCAGGTTTCGGCTTTTGTGCATGGCGGAGGCTCTAGCAATTCATCAATACAACCCTGAACTCTGTATACAGAAAAAGTTTGTCCAGTCTCTCATTCTACCTTGGTCTTAACCTCTTCACTAATCGTTCCTTGTAAATAAAAAAAAAATTTTTTTCTTTTTTCTTTTCATTCTAATTTCACTTTTAGTTAGCTTTTGCTTTAATAATTAATTCACTATTATCACTCTCATATGCTCCTTTTGTATATTTTCACACCCTCTTCAAACTTGTTAAATTGACGCTCAAATACCTTTATTCTCACTTGATAGCAATTTTAACCTTATCAAATTTCTATCTTTTTGCCGTTGAGTACCACGTAATTTTCAACTTTTAATTTTCACTTGTAAAGCCACTTCTGAGTAATTATATCAATTATGTCACCCACCCCTATTACTCAATAATAGACCACTATATATTTTTGTAAGTATAAATACGATTGTAAAGCCTCTGAAGATGATTTCGTCGATAAAGAAAATTTTCTTCGCTGAATCCGTCTTTTATTTTCTTCATGACTCAATGGGTATTTTCGGTGATATGTATAAATTACAAAATCTGCAACAGCAGAAGATAAGAGGATGGGTGACAGACATTTTTACTTAGGAAGAACATATCAGATTTACGCAGTTTTAACCACATTGCTGGTTGGTTGGGTCAGCGGACAACAAATCGTTCTGATTGGTTGGCGATTGGCCCAAGGTTAGACAGTGTGACGAAAAGTTGTCCAAAGAGATTATTACGTGTTCACAACGTAAACTAGATCCAGATTTGAGGAATAAACACTTCCACCTCTGCAGCGATTGACTTAAAGTGTTGATTTCAAATTTGGCCGCTTCCCATCAGTCGACATCTATCCACTATTCATAAACCTTGTCCGTAGCACACGCCACAAACTTATTGAAGTTGTTTTGTTTGATTTAATAACATTGAAAGATGAATATTTCTAAGACATGACTATCATTAAAAGCTGTAGGCGCTTGGAAACAAGAGTGTTGTTGATAATCGTAGCAGGTTGTGAGCCTTTAACAGTCTAAACAATGTCCTTAGGTCATACAGATCTATGATCTAAATTCCAATGACCATGTAGCGGTAAATAATTCCCCAAAATTATTGACCACAGCAATCATCACTCAACATTGGATGCTGACCCTCACTGTTTAAGTCGACTTGTTTAGCTGAAGGCTTCCGGTCAAGCATCCCCGCTATTTGGTACTCCGTCGTGTCACGTGCGTGTACGATAACTAGCCAGCTAAGCATTCACTTCAACCCGCGATTTGGTCCCGAAATATATTACGTACTTTGGACAACCAAATCTGGTCTTTTGCTTTATCTTTGGTGCTCGAAGTGCGAACACTATAGTTGTTGGTATAAGATCTTGCGTTAGTATAATCCGTACAACTCGCGAACGTCGATACCTGCAACCTCTAAAACCAGTTGTTTTTCACCTTCTCACAAATTAACGACATAACTTAATTATCGTCTTCGGTTTTTAATGATTCTTTTGAATATTTTAAGACAGAATACTTTCACACAAAACTCTTCTAACCAATGACTGAAAATTGTTCTGAAGGAGAAAGTTTAGAAACTCTGATCTTCATTTAATCTCTCCTGGGGTATTTATTGACAGCTTGCATTATTATGAACTGACCAATTGCCTACTCAGTATTCAGTTAACCTCTGTTTTTAATCCGTATACACCGGCAATGTTTCTTGCTCTGTTATTTAGAGTTGTTAGTAATAATGCTTTAAATTTCATATACCCAATTCTCGTGATTAATTGGGACAAAGCAGCTGTAGTAACCAGTACATAGTAAGGATTGAGAGGAGGGTATCTCCTTGATTTTCTGAGCATATCTCTAATAGTGTCCGTATCAAAAGTGAGAAAGTGTTTGCCAATTAAATTCCGAGACCTCTGATTAACACAGGACATACAGTTGAAATCAATCAAGCCTTCAGAATAATCAACACGTGTAGAGAAAACAGGAGTTACTTCATCTTGTAGAAGCCACTGCTATCAAATAATTTTAACCTAACCTACGTATACAGAAAGACAGTTGAATAAGCTTTTTTTGCACTGCTTTGTTAACCATGTCTCTCTTTTGACTGGTTTTTTGTCACGTCATAAAGTTTATTCAATCTTGGTTTTCACTCGTCAGTCAGAACTCAATAATAAACTTTCAATTTACTTCATTGTTTGTTTATTTGGTAATTTTACTTGTACTTACCATATCTTTTTACTTCCACCTTCTCCTCTCGAACTTCTCATCATATTATGCATAAACAAAGACTGATTGTTCAACTAGTAACTGCCTTGTATTTCCATCTCTTCTTTAAGTACTACGCTATGAATTATCAAGTGACCTTTGAGTTGAAATAAATACGGAAGTATGTTATATACTTTTATTTATAATAACTAAAGCCATTTTTAGGCTGTTAGCGACTGAAAGATGGCCATAATATTAAAACTGAGCTCTTTTTACCCTGAAAATACGTACATTCTTGCTTTGTTCAAACTATGCTTTGAACCTGACACTCTGAATTGTGGTAGGATATCAGGGAAATTTATTTTTTGGAAGTATACTTTAAAGTTTACTTATCACTACAATGTAATTTATACAATCCACCTCAATGATTACGTTAAAAAACAAACGTACGTCTCACTCACTGTCAGTTTATACACAACCATTTGAAATAGAGGTAGAAATTTTGTGGTAAAGAATGGCTTCAATGTGGAAGAACTAAGACAAAACCAACAGGGCAGATATAATCTCGAGAATTATACTATCCAATACTAAACATGACTGGATACTTCGTGACTATTTTTCTTTACTGTTGACATCTTTCAAGAACAAACGAAGTCTTTGTCAGGGACCACTCACTCAAGATTACCAACCCTGTTCTTTTAATGCACAACTGTCATAAGAAAAAGAAAAATACTCCTGAAATTATTCTGCAGCTGGATATACACCATCTACACTGACCTGCAAGTCTTATTTTCCAACTGCCCACGTCCCTGAGTAGAAAAAATCTAACTTTTCGACTGCTTGGATTAAGCCAGCGCAACCTCAATGCTTATTACTTTATCATAAGATTCCTACAAATTTATGGTTAAAAAATATTTTGAACCTGAATTTGTTAGTTTGAAAAACGACAAAAGAAGAAACAGAAACTCACATCATCATAGCCTTTACCCAATTCAGTATTCTTAAACAATAAAACAGGATTGTGAGTTAAAACCACTGGTCGACGGTCACATAAGTACATGCGAGACCATATATTTGCAATATAACTTGTGTTTGGATTGGATTTAGCAAAGTCCTCCAAAGATTTCTGTAACACAGGGCCCCTACTCTGAGAAAATTCAGAGACAACTTTTCTTGTGTACTGTAATTCTGAATCATTAAGAATTGCTTCCTATAAGGTAAAGAAAAACAATTACTAGTATTATTATTTTTGTTGTTTGCGAAAGTTAATATTTATTCATTCATTTGAATATCACAAAATCTCATTACATTAACTGAGTGTAACATCCCAAAAACTCTCAATTCTTATCTAACTCTGGTCAAAGAGGTTGTTTTTTTACTGACGTTAAACCTTCTTTCAATTTCCGGTCATGTAAACACTTAGTGTTGAGCTTTTCGGACTAACTCTTGAGAGTGTTTAGCCAGAAAAGTGATAAGCTAGAAAGCAACGACAACACTTCATCAGTACCTGGTACAGACCCAAAAAGTAGGTATACGCTAAACTGTTCATAATCTTCAGGCATAGCAAGAAAGTTGATAGAAAATTTCTTTGCTACTCGATAGGCATCGAAGTATATGCCTCAATATTTTACGATAACTTTAGTAGAAGACTATATCCTCAATTCTAAGGTGCTAATATAATTAGATGTTATAACTTTCAAGTAATTCCAAAGCTCCAAACTTTGATCATTCTTTTCCCATTGGCTAAAATGTCCCTATGGATTATAACCAGTAAGAATAACCGTTAAAATTAGTATAACTAGTTCAAGAGTGTACTTTGTGGGAGTTAATGTTAGGACATTGGATTACTGCCGCAAGTGAATTGATTGACAAGTACTTAAAACTCTAGGCAGTCAGTGAATTTTTCATGAACATATATAAGTGGGGGGAAACGGCCAAGATTCCGTTGAAAAGGTGGGATACACCCGGGAATAACATCAGTAAGGTAGGAAAGAGTGAATCAAAACCGTGGGATAAGTGTGAAAAAGTGGCAGATTAGTTCGTTGAAAATGTTGGAAAAGTTGGTAATTAATGAGTTGGGGAGAAGTGAATGAAGTAGCGCAATTGGAAAGACGTGGGAAACACACGGACAGTGTGGTTTAAATGTCGTATTTTAATCATGTTTTACCCACATCTCAGCCGATCAAATCTGCCTACTTTTCCCACATTTTACTCTTTTTCACCTTCGGAATTTAGAAACGTACAAACAGGACAGCAAAATCGCTACTAACTTCAACCGCTGAAAGGGAAGATAGATACCTGTAAAATGGTGCATTCAATGAGCACTACATGTGTGAAGTTAAAATTTTTATTTAAGGACCATTATTCCTTAGTTAGACAAATATGGTTAAAAAGAGCTGAATAATAGGTACTGGCAATAGTATGAAGAAATGGGCGAATTCCGGCTATACAACATAACTGTTTCTATTCTGAATGAAATTTAACCAGCATTTAACAATTCTGACGATTATGCAACCACTATTTCACCATTATTGGACTAATATTTTCATATGATCCAACTAATATTGTGTCTAAATGTAACAGATATTTTCTATTCGACCATTGCTTTCACATTTCAACCATTTCTCAAGCAATATTTTTCAATTTTGACCACTATTTAACCAATATTTGCTCATTATATTACCATTATTAACATTTGCCTAAAACCTGCTGATTTTGTACGAAATTACCTTTCATGATATGCCAAACCCCTATAAAACGAACATTATCATAGAAATTATATTTTATGTAAGAAGCAGATACGCTTGCAGTGAAAAAAGAATTTAAAAAATAGACTGTACAGAAAATTTACATCTAAACAACAACCTGCGATTTTATATATCTCTCCAAAGATTTTTCGAGCTGCGGAACCTTTAAGCTAGGTAGGCTAGTTTGAAAGTAGTCTGTGGGAAGGCTGTAATTCCTTCTAAATACAACACAGAATCTAGTTAATCTGTCGACACACTTGACCTTGAAAAGCATTACTCTCATAATTCCCTCGCTTTGAGGTCAAACTTAGTCTACGAGCTCGACGTGCTGAAACAAATACTTCAAACTCCATTAGATAAGGTGTGCTGAGAACAGTTGATGAATCCACGATAAAATTCCTCATTCGGACTAGTTCCATATTCGTTAGAGGCGAAATTCCCCACCGAGTCTTAGACGCTTGCTCCTTAACAGATGACAACAACAATTTGATTAGGTTTACTCATTTATGCAATTCGCAGGATTTTGGCATATCTACAGAAACCAGCTGCGAACCACATGAGAAAACCTCTTAGTTGATCTACTGGTGATAGGATAGTAAAATTTCAGCGTTTCCGGTCTGTCTTCCTGTGTTGAATTTGAGTTGGTTATTAAGTACTGAGATCTACGGTGCTGTCTTATGTCAACAACAATAAATCTTGGCAAAGCTTTTAATAACTGGAGTTGTAATCAGTGTTGATTTGGGGGGATGGAGTAATTATTTACTTTCAAATGAGATCAGGACGACTGAGTGGATTCCATGCTTTCGATCCTTTACCTTTAACTTTGCATTCCAAGCACAGTGTACTCCTTCTTCCTCAGATGTAGTGGTTGCAACTAGTTCGTTTATCCTGGCTCACTTTAACCGGACTCGTCAGTATTCAGCTAAGTCTGAAACAGGAAACAACAATCCAGGATTTTCTATCATTCCAGTGTGGCTAGCATGCAATACTGTTTGACATGAGGGATTTCCAACTACTCATTTCAACCAAACGACAGTATGTGCAGCCCCTTCAGATTGTTAATTTCCCTTGTGGCATATCGACATTAGGGTCCTCGAAGGGTGATGGAAGCTTGTTAGACAATTTTATTTTTAAATTAACCGCTACCTTTCCTAAAGTGAAGAATTCTGCAGTAAATTTGTTGTTTCTTACATTTTTATGCCCCACTTCATGGCAGTAACTCATGTATTGATTTCAGCTGAGAGTCAAAGATGTCAATCTGAATTATGAGGAATCATGCTTTAGCGATAGTCGCAGAGTAGAGGCTTTCTAGCATCTATGTCAAGAACAGAGACAACCTGCCTCTCGATCTCTCTCAATGTAGCAACGTAACTACAGTTCTTTTCGTGTTTGAACAAGTTCCTACCCTTATCTACATTCAAGCAGACTAGAACATAACCGTCACGACGTTAGGTGGAAGAATCTAAGGGTGCTGCCTGCTGATCATGTAGCAATTTTGAAAGGATCTTGGGGATTCAGCCAGACTGGCCTTGAGGCATGTATTAATTTTTGTATTAATAGCAGTATCCTCTCTTCTGTCAAGTGAACCTACCAATAAAGCAAAGAATCTGTTTGTCAAGTTGAACAGTTTTTCAGAGGCATATCTGTGATAACTGATAAATTCCATGCAAAATTTAGTTATATCCACGGTTCTACCCAAACAGCTTTTAATCCAAGTGTTGGCGTGCAGGGACTTTATCGGTTTCGGGATTTCATCTTTAGGTGACATAGGTCAGCGAACAACTGGATAACGTGGGAGTACTGGACAGCTGTTTCATCCTGGTTTGGGCCCTTCAGCAATCATTGAGGTTCAAACATAGGACCTTGATATTAGTGCAATGCCCACTAGCGACTGGCCCTATCCAAGAGGGTAGTCTTTCGGGATCTAGTGAGAAGTTGTGACCAGTGGGATACAGCAGGTTGAATCTGGGGCCGGCGATTGTGGCCAGTAGTCGCGCTGCATAGTGAATTGGCAGGAGTTGGGATTCATAGGTTAATGGATCGGGTCCCAGGGGCTTAATGGTCTACGAGCCTGCCGTGTAACCGGAAGGCCCTGGGTTCGCACCCTGGTGGGCGCGTACTGGTGAAGAACCCTAAACTAGGACGCAACAGTTATCAAGTACTCCCAGGTTATAAAATAGTTCTGTAGCTGATGTCGGTGCATCAGTAAATCCTGTAAACTGCTTTAATTAGTGTAGTTAACACTTCAGAATATTATTATCAATGTAGTGACGATTAAAATTCCCACTAGAAATTCCTAATAGTGCTCTTAGGAAGATCTGTTTGGGAAGAATACTTCACCGAAAATAAATGACGGCTAACGCAGAATGTCTTCCATAAGACAATCGGTTTCGCAAGTTACACAGTCGTGGCCCCAAAATCTGCTCCAAAGAAACCCAAATCCACTGATACACCGCAAAACGCGATTGAGACTAATAGGACTGGAAAGAAAATATTATGTATTGAAACACAGCAGTGCATTGCACCAGACACATGAAGCTTTAGGAGACATAATGGACAACTTGAGGAAAATAAAGTCCTCGGGCAGGTCCGAAATTCAGAAAGTTTCAGGATTATGCGTAAATGCATCTAGTGGTACTAGAACTGCTCAGTCAATACACATATAATAATATTATTATTGTTGCTTTTCACTTGCACATCTTCCAGTTTGTAAGAAGTTAGACATATATCATCGGCGAAGTCCAGATCCTCCAAGTTTTTTGTGTGAGTCCATTTTATGCCTGTTTCCTCATCGCCCGCTGTTTTTCGCATTATCCAGTCTACTGCAATCAGGAAAATCATTGGCGACAGTATGCAGCCTTGTCATACACCCGTCTTCACTTCGAAGGATTCCGTAAGTTTCCCGTTGTGGATTACTTGGCATGCAGCATTGTCCTACAGCTGCTGGATAAGATGTATAATTGTCGGTAGCACCCCGTAGTAGCGAAGTAGTTGCCAAAGCACCTCTCGATCGACGCTGTCTGGCGAAGGCCTTTTCAAAGTCGATGAAGTTGAGATAGAGAGGTGACTGCCATTCCAAGCTTTGTTCAATGATCATCCGTAATGTGGCGATATGATCAATGCATGACTTGTTTCTCCTGAATCCAGCCTGTTCCGGTCGAAGTTTTTCATCCAGGGCATGTTTGATTCTCTCCAGTATGATGCGGCTTAGTATTTTGCTTGGGATGGATAGGAGCATAATTCCGCGCCAGTTCTTGCATTGACTTTAGTCTCCTTTCTTTGGTAGTTTGAATAAGTATCCTTTCTTCCAATCGTCGGGTACTTTGCCTTCTTTCCATACCTTCTCCAGTAGTGGCGTCATCAAGTCCGCTGTTGTCTCGGGGTCCATTTTCAGTGCTTCAGCTGGGACTCCGTCTGGTCCTGCTGCTTTTCCAGCTTTCAGCATCTTGATTGCCTTCAGGACATCTGTTATCGACGGAGGGCTGATGTCCACTGGTAGTTCTGCTTCCACCATAGGTATTTTTGTGCACATTGTAGGTGGTGGTCGATTTAGGAGTCTTATGAAGTGTTCAGCCCAGTGTTTCTTTTGCTCCACTTCTTTAGTGTTTGACTTTCCAATGCCATCCTTCACTGGCTTAATTTGTGTTGAACTTTTCCGTGATAGCAACCTAGTTGTTTGGTGGAGTGTTGCGAGGTCTCCTTTCCTGCGCAGCAGCTTGTTCTGCTTCACTTGTCATGGCTTCATGATATATTCTTTTGTCTTCCCTGGCACTCTTCTTTACTCTTTCGTTCAGTGTATTGTAGCTTGCGTTTAACTCCTGTTTTTGTTGCTCGTTGGTGCACTGGATAATCTTTTGTTTTAGCATCCTTCTCTCTCCTATCAGTTTCCAAGTGTCCGTAGTGAGCCAATGTTTGTCCTGTCTCTTCTTTCTGCCTAGAACTTCCATGCAGGTTTGACCCTACACCGCTTTCGGGCTGTTCCAGTGCTTCTCAACGCTGGTCTCTTCACTAGTGTCGATTTGTGCCTCCACTCTTTTACCTTATGATTGCAATGGAGAAACTCATTGTATCCTGATCCGCCTGGTTTTGTCTATTGAACCTGACTTGTGGTCTATCTGGAGCTCCTGTTTCTTTGAAAGTTTTGAAGTGTTCCTTGTACGAGATAGTTGTCTGCTCCTCTTCTTACTTTTGTGTCCAGTAAGTAGCGTCCCCGAACAGCATTGAGATGAAGTCAATTTGGTTTTTGGTTAGCCCATCTGGTGACATCCATGTGGCCTTGTGGATATCCTTGTGCGTGTATACGCTGCCACCAATCACTAGTTCACTGAGGGCGCAGAAGTCGGCGAAGAGTTCTCCATTTTCATTCATTTCTCCGAGAGCTTCTTTACCTGTGATGAGTTCTCTTCATTATAAATAAGATTTTATTTTGATAAGTCACACAGTGTTACACAGCAATATTAACTGATGAAGTTTTATACTAATATCAATGAGTTCTCTTCCTGTGTTGTCTGATCCCAGTTTGGCGTTCATGTCTCCCATTAGTATTTTAATGCCACCAGTTGGAGTATTGTCCATTGTTGCCTGTAGTTGTCTGTAGAATTCTTCTTTCTTATCGAGATCTGCGTTGTTTGTGAATGTATAGCATTGTATAACTGACACTTTCCTTCCTTTGGAGTTGAATCTGGTGGTCATTATCGCCTCTCATTGCATCAGAGCCTTCGTTGCCGTTGGTTAAATCATGATAGCCACGCCCTCGGTGTGCATGTGGTTGTCTTCTGGGCGACCGGAGTAGATCACTGACTCACCCAATGACAATTTGGTGAGTCCATTCCCGTTCCATCTGCTTTCACATATTCCCAGTACTTGAATTCCGTATCTTTTCACCTCGTTTACAATCTGGATAGCTTTTATAGTCTCGTACATGGTGCAGGCGTTCCATGTCCCCACATGGACGTATTCCTTTGTCACAAGGAGACTCATCGTACTGAAGTTTCTGTAGCAACTTTGTTTACAGTGTGAGGTTGTAGCCTCACGCCTGAGAAGGTGGTTATTACATGTATATGTAGTTTACAGAGGAGTGACTTTATGGCTTGCTCCCCTTACACTTAGGAAAACAAGGAATAGAGCAATCAGAACAATACCAGAAAAAGGAAAACGGTTCGCAACAGGAAGGTCAGCGATAACAACAAAAACAAAATACCGTAGCAGTAGTACCACTGTCAAATACAGTTAACGAAAAATGATATCAAAACTACAGACTCACTGACTTGGGCCTAATTAGACATGTAA